AGACTATTTTAAAAAGTATATCTTAAAACTGGCCTCGAATCTTGTCATAGCTTACCAAATGCCTGTGTCTGGCCCATTAATAATCCGAATGAACATACATTTAAGGGACATTCATCTCTTTTGTTTGATCCATTTTATTCAAACCAAGATCATATGTTTTAGTAACCATTCTTTCTGGAAAAGTATACAATACAAACTCTAATTTCACACAAGAATATTCTTTTGGTTGTATAAGGAAAATATCTACGTTAAATCATCACAGCAAATAATTGGGCATTATCTTAGAATTAAGAATGCCATTTATTGTATGAAAATCTTACAAATTGAATTAGCTGGCAAATAGAAATCCAGACTGCTGTCAGATTTTTATCCTCCTAGAAGTTAGCCAGCCATGGAACGTTCACGGTTCTGGCTGAGTGATTGTGTAAGACGAGATTACTAATTTCCAGATGACTTCTACTTTTGGTGATTTTTTCTTCTCCGCTACACGTGTCACGGGTTTGCCAAATTCACTCCAACAGAGATGAAATCAGTTAATCATTTTTCTTTATTTCATTAAATTTCTTTCTTTTAGCAGATTTGACACCCGATTCTACCAAATGCTGCCTATTTCTGAAGGTAGGTCACGTGTCGTTTTGCAAAGATTTCGGCGCCATACTGCAACAATAAATGTGTATTCTGTAAAGGCAACCGAGTGTTTTGTAATTTCCCTGGGGATCTTATCATATTTCATATAAAAATTTCTTATAATGGGAACACATATTTAACAGCATCAAAAACATTAAACCAATAAAACCCCAAATGCATACTCTTGATCACGGTCACTCTATGCGGTCAATGACGTGGCAACGGATAAGTCTTATTATAAATGGTCGATACTTAAAATAATCCAAACCTACAATAAAGTGGAATTCTTGAAAACAGTGTCAGTGGATCCGTGGGCCTATATTCCTAAAGTAACGCTGTTGTTATAGTTTTTCAATGGAACTTGTTCCCCTGAATTTGGATCACCAAGAAAGTGTGTTTTTGGTAGGCTCTATAGGAAACATTTGAGGCTGTCGTATCGGTCAAGTATACTCAACTTAATTATACTGTCATGCTCGAAACCTCGCTTATGGGCATTAATATTCAACAAATTTGGACGTCACGTAATTAGCATATCAGCTAGTTTGCAAATTCAGCGTTTTATTTGGTGATGTCACACGTCTTCGGATATAAATTTCTGAACAAATGGAAACAAATATACAATCAGGGTATTGACCCTGATCCTTAATGGGGCGGGGCGGGGCGGGGCGGGGCGGGGGGGGGGGGATCAAATTAGCTTGCATGGCAGCCTTTAAAACACAGATAATAAATATAAATATTTAATAATGACGAACTAAACCAGTTTAGACATTTTACACTCACCATCTTGTAATGGTTGTTCAACGTTGAAAGTGAAGGTGAAGTGGAACTCAAGGGATAAGTTGTGTTTTGTTATTTAAACAAATATATTTAAATACATATTTCACAGACTTATTCATTTTATTTAATATGTAGACAGTCTAGATATCTTTTTCGTTTGATGGCAATGTTCACGATCGCGACATGATTTACTTATAGAATACCACCGCATCTCCCCATGTCATGCGTCGCCATCAAAAATAATTATCTCAAACCGACAAAACTATATGCATTGCGAAGCCAAGAAGCTTCATTATTCTCATTTTTGGGAAGACACGAATTTTTTTTATTTTTTTATTTTTTCATTACTTTTTTTTTTTTTTAAATAATTATTTTTCCTTTATAACTCCGCTGATGTGATTGTAATTGTTGAGGGTCTGTAATACAATGGGTGTATATACTTATATTGTATATGGCATTGCGTAGGTAATTTTTTCTTCTTTTTTTTGTTCAGTACTAAGTGGAATTTTCGTGCCCTTTTACATAATGAAATAATGTTTAGCTAAATTAATCGAATGAGACCCAGCATATCATTTGTTAGTCTATATTTATTTAATGAAGTTTGTTCTTGTTTTGACATCTTTGAGAGAGATAGTGTGAAACATTAGAGAGAATGGACGTATTTAATGATTTCTGTGTTGTGGAGGTGAGCTTTCCTAGAGTAATTAACGAAGCTTACCTGAGAGACGATGTAATTAAACACGCTCTTACCTCGTCCCCTGGGGATAGTAATCAGACCGTATAGAGCTAAAAGCTAAGGTGATTCAGGTACTTTCGTTACATGTCATCCATTAAACTTATTGGCTGTAAATCCCGAGATTCCCCTCAAATAAACTTCTAATAAACACATCTATAATATCTACGGTGGCCATTAGTAGAGAGATTTTTAATATCAGTAAGCAGAATTCAAATCGACAAAAACCCTAGGCCTCGATAACCCTATACTGTATACGAGAAAGGCGAAGCACTTAACTAGTATTGTTTAAAACCTATAAACATAATTATAGCAAAGCGATTCGCCAGTAATTAGTTTTTTCGAATAATAATTTTCTCTCTTTACATCAAAGGCTCTGATAGATATATTTTGTTTATTCGGTGAAATTTAGCTGATTGATATTGATTTCTTACTTACATTAATATAAACAGAATTTATAAAATTATTCTTTTACAAGTCATGTATTGAAATATCTTAAGTCTGTACAAATATATATCGTTCAAGACGAGTGCTTACTAATATCGAATATATACTTTCATGTCCTTTTGTACAATACTGTCATAACTCGTCTTCTTTTAGATTTATTAGTTTTAGTAATTGCTTTTCTTTTGTACACAGACTTCCATTTATTGAAGAAATATGAAGCGTTAATGATGAAAATATATTAACCCAACATTAGATATTCCCATATACATATCCATGTGAATTTCTTTTTATATCCCTGAACCTCAATATTGGACTTTTTCAGTAAACTGTTATCGACTGTTCTGAATTTGAATCAAGAAGAAATCTATATTTATTCTTTTGAAAGACAAATTGTATTTGAAAATTACTTTGTTATTTAATTTTCCCTTTTGAATAATTGCATAGTTATTTAATGCTAAAGTTAGTTGATAACGAATGCAATACCAGAATGACGACTGCAGTAAATTTCATAAAAGTCTTCGCTGTCCACAGGCTTTCCTGGTCATTTAGAGACTGGTTGTTCAAAATTAATTTAAGAGATGTTACCTGACAGGACCTTTCCTGATGTATATATGTATTTATATATCACTAAATATATTTGAATGTTCTAATATATTATATATATATTCGTATATATTCTAGTCATGTTTATTTTCTTTCTTATTGTTGTGAGCATCTTTACACATCGCCCTTGAATCAGTAGTGAACAAGGCAGCGTTTATCTATGTTTATGAATGTTCAAATGTTTCTTCTTTCATTTTGTAATCGTATGCTGCTCCCCGTGGGCGTTTTTATGCAATAAACTTACTTACAAAAAAAAAAAAAAAAAAAAAAAAATCCCTTACTCCAGCCCTGAAATATCGTTTTCCTGCAGGCGAACAATGGGGGCTAGGACTTTTTTTTAACACCAACCCACAATATGATAGGAATGCCGTTGGTCTATCGTGAAACGATTCTTTCTTTAGCCGTGGCTAACGGGCGCTTGTGTTTCTGGCGCTCCAGATAAATTAATGAATACTTGGGGCGAAGCAAAATATTACCCGGTACTACTACTACTACTACAAATAGGGGTTTATAGGGGTTTGCGTCCGCTTCCACGTGTGTTAAATAGCAAATTTATATAACTATAGTATTAAAGAGGTTGTGGTTACTACTATTACTACGAGGGATTTGCGTCCGATTCCATGCAGACAACACCTATTAGGCTAAGCACACCAACGTGTAAACATGACTTTTCGTCCAATTCGAAGGACGAATGGGAAACCAGTCTGAAAAATCCCGAGGGAACTTTCTCGACTAACACCAGGATCATATCCGGCACTTCCAGGTCAGTGAACCACCAAATTACTCACTGAGTCACCGCGACCACAGCATTAGAGAGACAAATGCTAAAAAGACGTCGCCGCCATTTCCGATAGGGTACGGGGGTGGGGGTGGGGGGTAGTAGCCTATGGCTATGTGCCCTCCCTTCCGAAAAAGTGCCCTCGAATTTCGAAAGAGTTACTTTAAATGCTCATATGGAAATGCCCGCGCCAAAATCATCATATTCCTGTTGTCCTAATGACCCCTTTTCATACTGCCCTTCCCGTTTTCCAACAGGATCCAACGACAATAATAAAAACCAATAATTGCGCTCAATGTAGCCCACGTACACGCGCCATCAATCACTCCTCGCCTCTGATTGGCTTCCATCCTCAGTGGGGCAGGGTACCAGTCAACTCTTGCTTGTGATCGACTGATTGTGGCTGGTAATTCTCTGATTTCGGATGGGTGGGTATAGGGGTGGGGGTTGATGGCCAAATGGATAGCGCATGCGCGCTGTATCAAAAGGGCTGCCATAGGGTCAACTGGCGTGGTTTCGATACGGCGGCTGTACGTGACAAGGATCTATAGGGTCGCCTGTCCAACCTCGTGGGATTACTCCGGGTCTTTCGGTTTCCTCCCACTGCTAAAGACCCTACGCCTATGCCTAGTCCCGAAATGATCTAGTTTGTGTCGAGTGGGCGTTAAACGCCACTTTTCTTTCTCTCTTTCACACTAAATAGGAAATATTTTTTATTCAGATAGACCTTTACTAAAACACCTTTTATTTATTTTTGTTAGTGTTGCTTAAAAAAATGCTCTAGAATTTAATTTGCAAAAGAAATTCCTTCAAGTGCGTGTGAGCCTAGCGAATATTCACTGTGTGGAGGATAATATCGGGAATATTGTTAACCCCGAGAGGCGTTTCTATTTCAGTGAAGGCAAATCCAAAAAGAAGTTATGCTGGTTTGAAACTACCTTCCGCATTTACGATGTAAGGGACGGAAATCTTTAAAGTAGATTTTGTTTTGGAATTGGAGTAGCCCCCCTTTAATAGCAATGTTCTAGACGGCGCTTCACACTGAAATAGAAATGGAATTTAGACGGCTAAGATAGAATTCCAGAAAAAAAAAGAATGAAATCTAGGATCCTCATCTACTGATAAGAGCGCTGATGTAAAGTTAGCCAGATAAAAGTATCGTTTATTTAGCCCTCTTCACAAATTTCAGATCGATATTCGCCGAAGAAAATAATCCGAAATGACAATCACCAGCTGGTGGCAGTGTCTGTTTTTGTTTTGTTTAGTTTCTAACTAATGTTAGCCTACCTACTCCTTTCCCATGCATGGATTTCGTCCAAGACACACCTTGTTTGGCATCAGCCCCACTCACAATGTCTGAATAAATATTATGATTCGTTGTATAGATTTGACCCTGTGCTGGTAAATTTAGAAATCAGATACACACAGATAGGCCTAGCTTCTTGTCATTGACATTATAAATATAATTATTAGGGCTTGGATTTGTGAAATGATGCATAGATTCTTAGTCTTACTTAGATCAGAATCTTCTACTAACAATGGTCAGCTTGACCATTGACTTATATTGATAAATCAGCTGGTAAAATGGACAGTTATACTTATAATTCAGATATCTTTCTTATAAGTAAAGCAATGGGCGGGGTTAACGTGTGCGATATTTGGCGAGATTTCACCTGGGTGGTGTCATGGCAGCTTATACATTATGAGAAATATCGCTTCGAAAATGTAGAACCCATTATCACAAAGAAAAACTGTTCGGTAACTATTTTAGTGGTCCAGTCTTCACTATTTGGGATAGAATTACATGTACTTATTTCAATACAAACTGTAGTACTGATTGACAGTTGTGCATTTGAACCTATTTGTACTCGTGCAAGGCCTCTTAGACTGCATCAGTTGTAGCGCTAAACACAGTTTAGCATGACAGTATTGTAGCTATAGTTTTATGTCTCTCTAAAATGGACTGATGTTTGATGCAGACCCATGTTCAGTGAACCATGAAGATGAACTGTTAAACAAAACTTCAGTTGAAGATTTCAAATTCAAATATCTTAAAGATAGTACTTGTCTGAAGCATCGTAAATATTAAACGGATTTCTTCGATTATGAACAAACTACTTAACTTCGATTATAATAAACTTACTTGTGTGTTTGAAATCAACTTCCGTTAAATAAAATCCATTGCACAACTAATTATTTCAACGAATAAAAAAGTTCTCTCTTGACAAATTTGACTATTTACTTGTAATTTCATCTAAGCTGAAGACAACAATACTTTCATCATGTGTTGGGCGTAACCAATGTAGCTGTTGTGGGGCGGTTTAATTTTGACAGATAGTTTGACAACCACATGTTGCAATGAAAACAAAGCGTGATCATTACAATTGGTGAATTTGGGAGACAAAAAATATCATCTAAAGGCAATTACATAGGAGTTTTATATTGAAACCATTGATCGCCAGGACGCCATTCTATCAAATTTTATTCACAATGAAAATATCACTGATTGCATGGATACTCGTAAAAATAAAGTCATATATAAACTAAAAATATCCTATCTTCTTTATGTTATGAATAATTTAACAAGGATCATGAAGCTCACCTCTGAAGTCTCCGAGTGTATTGTTAATTTGATAGCATTCTTTGGATCAAATAATAACCGCTTCAATAACATCTATAAGCGTATTGCTTATATATATCATATTAAAGATAATAATAGGTAATATTTAAGACCGGTAAAACGAATGTAATTGTTTTTGTGCCGCATGTGTGTTCAAAAAGAAAATCATCCAATCTGAGTCACTAATCAAATAATTAAAACAAAATATTTCAAAAGGTAACGTTATAAAATTTGCAGAGATTTTACTAGAATGTAAAAGACGGTAACAAATTAAAAGAATACGGACAGTTATGTGTGTGAACGCCCAAACTCCAAGCCGGTCTGAGATTTGTAGCTTATTCTTAAACCAAACTTGAATTGTCATAAAAGTACCGAAAACTGTTTCAATTTGCTATGCTGTCAACCCTTATACTAAATGACATCTCCTGAAGAGTGACATAATCAGCTTCCATTTTGGTATTTTTCTGTGTCAAAAGTTTGAGGGATTTCAATTTTTCAAGAGAAAGATTTTTTATTCGTTGGGATAATTAGTTGTGCAATGGATTTTATATAACGAGAGTTGATTTCAAACACACAAGAAGTTTATAATAACCAAAGTTAAGTAGTTTGTTCATAATCGAAGAAATCCGTTTAAAATTTACGATGGTTCAGACAGTAGAGATTACTTTATAATCAATCATGTTTAATTAAAAATTATTATTGGGTTCTGTAGTAGTATTTCATTAATATGTTACTAGTGTATTACAATAATTACATGTTTCTTACCAGGTGGAATATAATGAAGAAACACAGTACTAAGGAGATGGTGATGAATAGTGTTTGCATGCGGCATACATGTAGAATCAATTTCTCATATTCTTTAAAAAAATTTAGCATGGAATAAACATAGACAAGGTGACAATAAATCTCAGCAGTAATTTGATTCAAAAGAATTTGGGAAATCAGAACATTCCTCAAGAAGACTACACCCATAATATTTATAAAATTTCCAGATGATTAAATATTGTGTTTATCGATTTGTCAAGATGTCTTTAAACCGTAGAAAGAAGACTGTGATATCAACACTTTGCTTTGGAGTGCTTGTATACTTAGTTGTACAAGTCACTTACTTCCAACAAGAATTTAGTCCTTTAAAAGTATTAGCCAGTGCTGAAAGTGAGGCACACCGACTTTTAAAATTTATAACACATTATCATTATCAGTGTGATAATTCACTATATACGGGAAACTCCTCAGCATGGAGAATTTGTATAGACACCAATATAGGTATTAATGCAGATTCAAATATTACCAAGCTCTCTTATTCATTAGGGTAAGTTTTATTCATTTGATTTCATAATGTTGGGCATCACATTCACACTGATTTTGCAGTATTAAAACATCATTAATGGCTCTTTCGATATACTGCATTTTGACAACAAACAAATACTGTGCCTACTGCATTCTAATGAAATAAAATACATGTGTATGTTTATACATAATTTTAAAGACACAATTATATTCCAGACTAAGATATAAACATTGACTTTCAGACCATACACAATAAAAAGTATTGGTCTGTGGTACCAAATATGAGTCCAGATAGTATTAAAAGCAATCAATCATACCATCCTAATCTTACAGTAACTATCTAACATTCATATTACTTTTAATGGATTTCATGCCACTAATCTTATCATCTTGGGCACAATGATTGAAGGATAGCTCATTTCCTTAAGATGAGATATAACCTAGGGGGTTTTGTTCTGTCTCAACTAAAGAACATGATCAACCAGATTTTTGTTTAAATTTATATATGGAAGATGTATATTTTTGTTAAAATTTAAATAAGGAAAATAATTAGTGACCATTTGGATCATTTTGGCTTTAATCACATGCTTGTAATAAATGACTTAAATTAATATTCCAATGATGCCATATTTTTTTTTATCTTTTCAGGGCAGAGTGGGATTTTAGTTTTGAAGATATTTTATCTAGGAACCTATCTTTTCAAGAATATATTTTCCTGCATAAATCAGTGCCTCCACTCTTAAATAGAATAAATGGAACTCATATTTATAAAACTATAATAGTGCCAAATGATCCTGCTGATTTTGGTCGCAACTCGTTTGATACACAAACTCTTAATAATGTAATGGATAATTTACACCATGACAAGATAGACATCTTGAAAATAGAATCCTTATTTGACATGACAGAATCTCATGAACTTTTATTTTATCTTGTGAAAGATGAGATATTATCTAAAGTGAAACAGTTACATATTCTCATAGACATAGGTAAGAAATTTTATTCAGAATAATTTTTTTTTTAATATATTCATAAATATGTAACAAGAGAGGGAACAGCAATGCTCCCTTAAAAGAGTAGCAGAGGATGGACAGACTGGTAGAACTGTGTAGCTGCTGGTTCAAACGATGATGCTGGCGAGAGAGTAGATAAATGGTATTTTAACCCAAAATGTCATGAAGATGAATATACCACCTCTCATTTCAACTTAAGTCAGCAGTTTTTACACTGCTGTTGTGCAGGGATTTTTAAATATCTATTAATTTTACGATTAACTTCCAGAGTTATTTCCTTTACAAAATCTTTTTCGCACCGTAGAGACTTTAGTTATGATCTCACCTATCAGAAATGTATCTGGATAGATTATTGCCTGTCAACCTAAGGTTTTTTTGCTTGGCAACTAATATAAAATTATGAAAGGAAGACTGATTAGTGTCATTTATTCTGCCACATGTAAGGCCGCCGTTAATTTATTTGTTTGTTTCTCATGACCCGCATGTATGTCTGTTTTCATCCGTAATAATTACGCACTTCCATAATTATTTGGTCAAATTAAGTGAGATCACAAATTCGTCCTGTAAAATTTGTAAAACTATATTTGTTTGTCTTCAAATTTGAACAATGATTTGATGCATTAAAATCGACTGTTTATCGATAAAAATGACGTGTGATAAGTAAAGTCTTGTAGGCTAAAATGTGAAAAAAATACGTAAAACCATATGTGAAACAGGAAGTTAAAAAAGCTCTGTTATATTTGTCATTCGAACCAAAAAAGGGTTGCTGCAGCATTTACTTTCACCAAAGACAACATACATACATTTACTTCATAAGGCACTTGTCATTTGTAATAAAATTCACGGAAAGATATAAATGTCTTTATGTTCTGCTAAAATATTTCATTTACGTGACTAGCACTCTGTGACGAACACTCGGTTCCAAAACTGCCGCCTTGAGATAGCCTCGATCATGAGGTACCGACTGATTGACACTACTTCACAGTATTTTATTAACCGCGACACTCTATAAACACAGTCTCAAAAGGACACAAAGATACTAATAAATGTGAATACCTTGATGAAGATAGACAAAATTATAAAAGTATTTATATTATCACAATGCCATATGCCGATGGGTTCAAAGTTGAAGACATATAACATACAGGTTATTGGTTTTGTATTCTTCAATGTATTTAAAAATCCAAAGGTATGCTTTTTATACACCCACATGGAAATGTGGTCATATTTTGTCATTGACCTGTCCCTCCTTCGTCCACAATTTCTTGTGAACACTCTACAGACTACATTTATCATCTAATTGTTTTGAAATTGATATATGTTGTTTATATTAGTGAGATGAAGAAGCCTATTTAATTTCAATAATTTCCGTTAATTTATTCTTGAGTTATCGCCCTTGTTTCACTTTATTACACCTTGTGAACGCTCTAACGACTAAAATTATCAGTCACTGTAACAATAAAAGTTTTCATTCGATCTGTATGATATTTATATGCATTATTTAAATGAGTAAAACGAAGAAGCCTATTGAATTTCAGTAATTTCCATTAATTAGGTCTAGAGTTATGGCCCTTGTTTCACTTTGTTGAATAATGAACGCTCTATCAACTGAAATTATCATCCAATCTGTATGAAACTGATGGGAAACCTTTAAATTATTGAAACGAAGAAGCCTATTGAATTTCAGCAATTTCCGTTAATTATGTCTAGAGTTATGGTCCTTGTTTCACTTTGTTGAACCGTGTGAACACTCTAACAACAAAAGTTATCATCCTATCTGTATGATATTTATGTGCATTGTTTAAATGAGTAACACGAAGAATCATATTGAATTTCAGCAATTTTCGTTAATTAGGTCTAGAGTTATGGCCCTTGTTTCACTTTGGTGAATAATGTGAACGCTCTAACGACAAAAGTTATCATCCAATCTTTATGAAATTGTATGCATTATTAAAATTAGTGAAATGAAGAATCCTATTGAATTTCAGCAATTTCCATTAATTAAGTTATGACCCTTGTTTCACTTTGTAGAACCCTGTGAATGCTCTAATGACAAAACTTATCATCTGATCTGTATGAAATCTGTATGGTGAATAATGTGCACGCTCTAACGACAAAAGTTATCATCCAATCTTTATGAAATTGTATGCATTATTAAAATTAGTGAAATGAAGAATCCTATTGAATTTCAGCAATTTCCATTAATTAAGTTATGACCCTTGTTTCACTTTGTAGCACCCTGTGAATGCTCTAATGACAAAACTTATCATCTGATCTGTATGAAATTTCTATGCATTATTTAAATTAGTGAAATGAAGAATCCTATTGAATTTCAGCATTTTCTGTTAATTATGTCTAAAAGTAATGACCCTTGTTTCACTTTGTAGAACCCTGTACTCCCTCTAACGACCAAAGTTATCACCGGATTTGTAATAAATTTATATCGTCGGTGGGCGATCAAAACCACGTATATCAATTTTGGCGCCAAAAACGTTTTTTACATGGTTAGAATCGTAAATTAATGGCGCGTCGAATGCTCTATTCGCGGTAGTTGTAATCCAGTTAGAACTCAAGTTATAGGCATGTGACTAAACATCGTATTCTGATTCGTGAAATTTTCTACAAACCAAAATGTCGTATCTTATATACGCCAGTTTGTCATAAAACATCTTTCAAAGTCACGTGGTTTTTAAGAACCAAAAAGTCGTATCTCCTAATTGACATCGACGCAGGCTACAGGCTAACAAGGTAAGAATTTAATTTCACATTACTAAGTCTTAAGTTTTGTCTAACACAGCCTGTCCATTTTGACATTATAGTAGTATTTTGAATCTAAATGATAGAGGAATTCACGTTAGAAAGAGTAGAAAGAGGTAAAACTGTGTCCCAAATCTAGATGAAAAAAAAAAGAAAACAATAGTCTTGAACTTTTAGACAATCGAACGAACCAGCTTACTTAAGAATTTAATTTCTCATTACTAAGTCTTAAGTTTTGTCAAACTATTTTATTATTATTCTTATTTGTTTCAGGTGCCCATTACAATGACGTATTCGAATTCGTCTTTCTCAAGGGGGAAACGTATGCTTCAGATCTCCTTCAATTCGAATAACCTATTTACACAGATTATTATTTTTAGGGTAATTTACCTAGTACAGTGGCGGACGCAGGATATTTTTTTTATCGGCCGTGGGGGGGGTGGGGGCGGAGCAAATCGGGAAAAATCAGGGTGTCAATGGTGGATTATGAAGCTTATCTGCACCCGAATATAACACTCAATTTCATCAGCTGTAGCTGACATAATTCAAGGTAAATAGCCCTGAGCCATAATAACCAAGACATAATTCAGGGTAAGTAATCCAAGGCTATGATATCCACGACATAATTCAAGGTAAGCTACCTAGGGTCATAGCATCTACTACACAATTCCAGGTAAGTTTTCTGGTAGGTAAATAGCCTTGGATCGGTTCTGGTAGGTAAATATAGCCTTGGATAGGGATGATACTGAATACGCAACCTAAGATCAGATATCAAGTTTCTTGATATTTACTCCATAAACAGGAGTTATAAACAAAACCCAATGTACGTTTAGCCAGGAGCATGGAATCTATTAGAGAAAAGCTATCGAATTAGACTTTTCAAAAACTGTTGTGAAGACTTGTTCTAGGTACATCTTGTCTGACGATGATCGGCAGTAATGGGACGGCAATTTAGATAAAGGGTCTAGAAATCTTTTAGCGGTTAAATATGTAGACGATTCTCTATTCTTGGATTTTTTCTCTTTTCGGTCGAGCCAGGTGTTGTACCGTTTTTGGAACGGTCGAACCATCTGTACACCCTTTGTTCTCCGAGAGCAAACGTCGATAAAACATATTCTTGCAGACCTGTAGTCTGTCATTGTTTTTAATTAAGTGGTAATGGTAAGTAGTTTGCTTTCTGTATGCCTTTTCTTCCGTTTCGCATACGGTTCTATCCTTGACATTACATATCTTTACAAGATTTACGTACCTTGCTCCAACACCACCTCATGCAACCAGTACTTACCTTGTTTCAACATCATTTCCAGGCCCAAGAACTTACCAGTCCTCAGTGCCACCTCGTGAAACCAGTACTTACCTGCCCCAGCACCACCTCCAATAACCAATAATTACTTCGCTCCAGAACCATCACCACTAATCAGTATTCATCCCGCTCCGGCAACACATCAAGTAAATGGTACTTACATACCTTTAGCCCCCCCACCCAGTAACCAGTACTTACATTCCTTTACCACCTCTAATCACATCCCTTCAGATTCACCTCTGGTAACCAGCACTTACCTCGCTCAAGCACCACCTATAGTAACCAATACTTACATCCCTTCGGCATCACCTCTGGTAACCAATACTTACCTCGCTCAAGCACCACCTCTAGTAACCGGTACTTACATCCCTTCAGCATCACCTTCGGTAACTAGTACTTGCCTCGCTCAGGCACAAGCTCTAGTAACCGGTACTTACAACCCTACAGCATCACCTTCGGTAACTAGTACATACCTTGCTCAAACACCACCTTTAGTAACCGGTACTTACAACCCCCCAGCATCACTTCCATAAACTAGTACTTACCTCGCTCAAGCACCACCTCTAGTAACCGGCACTTACAATCCCCAGCATCACTTCCAGTAACTAGTTCTTACCTCGACCAAGCACAACCTCTAGTAACCAGTACTTATGTAAATTTAACACCATTTTCACTAACCAGTTCTTACCTCGCTCACGCACCACCTTCAGTAACCAACATTTACCTCGCTCCAACATCAACCAAAAGAACTTACCTTGATTTCGATTCGCAGACAAATTCTAGCCCCGCTTCGTCATCGTTGGGGAGTTGGTCCTTGCTTCCATAAATATTTACAATGCTTCAGCATCAACACAGTCTAATTATCTGTTGACAGTTACAGGATTGCCATCGTCAGACATTACAGCCACAGTCAAGT